GCAGAGACCACTTAAAAGTTTACCTTTGCTCTAGGCTGAAAACAGTATACCTGAGGAAAAACAGTAACATGACTTACACCTTTGAAAATATCCACTTTTAGTTTTCACCTAAATAGTGCAGGTAATTTTGAGTCTACAAGGCTTCTGAAAAACAGCAGTGGATGCCAGGTGCTTGGGGGTGGGGATTGGGGGGTGGAAACGGGACTTCATGCCTAAGGATACGAAGCTTCAGTCTGAGAAGACGGGAAAATTCCTACCCATTGCCACCCTCCAGTTCCCATCCGAAAAGACAACCACCTTCATCTACAGCAATTTTATCTGATTTTTTTTTTTTCTTTGAGACAGTGTCTTGCTCTGTCACCCAGGCTGCAGTGCAGTGGCTGGATTTCAGCTCACTGCAAGCTCCGCCTCCCAGGTTTATGCCATTCTCCTGCCTCAGCCTCCCTAGTAGCTGGGACTACAGGTGCCCGCCACCTCGCCCGGCAATTTTTTTTTGTATTTTTTTAGTAGAGACGGGGTTTCACCGGGTTAGCCAGGATGGTCTCGATCTCCTGACCTCGTGATCCGCCTGTCTAGGCCTCCCAAAGTGCTGGGATTACAGGTTTGAGCCACCGCGCCCAGCCTTATCTGATATTTTACCTCAGTGTTTAAATATAATACACTGATACTGCTTGATTTCTTAATTTTAAGAGAATGTGTTGACTTCCTGACAAGGTAGATGTGGTTTTGGCTCTTCCTATTTCCACACTCTTCATCCTTCCCTTTCCACGCTTTGCTAACACATGGCATAGTTACAGCAGAATTTCTGGTTAAATCAGAAGCCATTTTTTACAATATTACCAGTGCAAATATTGTTATCTGCCTTGACAGATTGTACATTTTACACAATCCTTTATTTTTCATGGAGTTGGTGATTGCCTCATTTCAGTTCGTTGCTTGTTATTCTATATACTTTGTTAATTTTTTCTACTACTCTGGCATTGCAGTCTTTTGCCTCACCTTAATAGATTCCAAACTTCCATTTCCATTTTTCCTCTGGAGACTTCCCACTCTGTGCTCCTCCCACTTTGGGGGCACTGCTCTTCAGGCCTGCTGCACAGCTGTCTTTTTGTTAATTGTGGTAAAATATGCCTGACAACATTTATCTTAACCATTTTTACTTGTACATTCAGTACATACATAGTGTTAAGTACATTCATACTGTTGTGCAACCATCACCACCATCCATCTCCAGAACTCTTCTCATCTTGCAAAACTGAACTTCTGTACCCATGAAACAATAATTCCCCATCCCCACCTCACCCTAGTTCCGGCATCCACCATTCTTCTTTCTGTCTCTGTGAATTTGACAACTCTAGGTACTGCATAGAAGTGGAACCATACAGTATATATGTCCTTTTGTGACTGGCTGATTTCACTTGGCATAATGTTCTCAAGGTTCATACATGTTGCAGCATGTGTCATATTTCCCTCCCTTTTTGTACACCTGTCTTTTGTACCTTCCTGCACTGCTGTCCTTCTTAGATCCACTTAGATCACTTTTATTCCACTTTCTTGCTTTACCTGTCCATTTTGCTAGAGGTCCATAACTTCAGGTATCTTCTTAAATAAAGAGAATATGAGGCCAGGCACAGTGGCTCACGCCTGTAAAACAGAGTGACTCTGTCTTTTCTCAAAGATCTACTCATGGCCACACAAGGCATCTCCTTGCTGTGTTAGGTATATCGTCCTATGTCCTATTTCTTGTGGCATCATTGAGCCTACAGCAGGCCTCATTTTGAACTTCCATATGTGGCATTTTTTGAAAAATCTGTAGCTGTGGCAATACTGAGCTTGCATTTCCTCATAGTAGCCAAGTTATGGCTGCCCCCAGTAAAGGGAGATTTAGAGACAATGCTTGCAAAGTTCCTACCAATAAGCCTGGTGAAGCACTTACTCAACAAATAGAAGTTGTTCTTTTTTATGGGATTACAGTTATTCAAAGGTTCAGAATTTAAAAGTGTTCAGAAGAAAAGGGGAGCTAGAGCTGATATTTGTAGATTGGCTTGAATTTTTTTTTTTTTTTTTAAATACTATTGAGTTGCCATCCTTGGCAAGGAGCTTGTATGTACAGTGATAGCTGTAGATCCAAGCCAATCTACAAATGTGTGTATAGCACCTGGTTATGAGCATGGAACCTGGACCTAGATTGCCTGGATTTGACTACTGGCTTTATCACTCTCAGGCTGACTTTTTTGTGTCTGTGTTTTCTCATCTCTAAAATGGGGATAATAATCATACCAACATATCTTGAGTTTTGAGTTAATATATATGAACCAGCTTAGCATAGTATTAGGCACATACTAAACACTATATGAATGTTTGCTTATTATTTTTCAATAAGTTTATATGATAGGATCTCTTTACTCAGCATAATATTAGGCACATACTAAACATTATATGAATGTTTGCTTTTTATTTTTCAATAAACTTATATGATAGGATCACTTACTCCTTGAGTACATTGTTTTCTTTGGGCTACAGAAGGCTCCCTGGTTGAAAGGACACATGTGTTTTCTTGGTTGTCATTCCGATTCTTTTTTTTTTTTGAGATGGGGTCTTACTCTGTTGCTTAGGCTGAAGTGTAGTGGGGTGATCATAGTTCGTTGTAACCTTGAACTCCTGGGCTCAAGGGATCCTCCTGGCTCAGCCTTATGAGCAGCTAGGACTACAACCATGCATCACCACAATGGAATGATTTTGTTATTTTTCATAGACAGAGTTTCATGATGTTGCCCAGGCTGGTCTCAAACTCCTTGCCCTCAAAGGATCTTCCTGCCGCTTGAGCTTGGGAGGTTGAGGCTGCAGTGAGCCACGACTGTATTACTACACTTGACAATAGTCAACAGAGTGAGACCCTGGGAAAAAAAAGATCCTCCTACCTTGGCCTCCCAAAGCACTGAGATTACAGGTGTGAGCTACTGTGCCTGGCCCTTGATTCTTCTTGTCAGTGCATGAATCCTGGTTCAGGTATTGTGAAATCAAGTGATCATCCCACAGGAAACTGAAACTGAAACTGAGCCATCATTCTGGTACCTCAAGGACTCTGCAGGAAGACCCGAGGGGACTCTGCCAAGAACAAGTCTAGCCTGTTCTGAGTAGACTTTTTCATGTATCTGTATCTCCTCCTGCCATCAACTTTCTTCCTCACCCTCTACCCCGAGTCTGTTCTGTCTCATGGCTGCTGCTTTCTCATGATTTCTCGTACTCCTTTGGTTTGCTCAGGACTCCAGTGGCCTCACTCTGCCTTATGACTTTTCAGTCCCAACCATCATGGCCAACTGCCTCACTTCTCATTTCCCAATTCAAATTCCTAAAAGCATGAGTCTGTATCGGCAAAGACTTTTGGTCTGGCAGCCTCCTGGACCAGTGGCTAATCTATAGACTGGTTACTCAAATAGTTGTCCTACCCTGGCTAGTAGGCAAGGAAAGCTAGGTAACAGCTACAAAATTCGACAGGCTAGGCCTTCTAGGATGGGTTCAGTAGGACACACGTGCTGGCATACATATGAAGAGGGTGAACGCCAGGCAAGTAGGCTGCTACAGTAGATAGGACCCATCCAGGGGTTTTCCAGAGAAGTGGAAGCAATAGGAGATATACATATAAGAGAACATTTTGTATGGGAATTGGTTCATATCCTTGTAGAAGAGTCCCATGACCTTCGGTCTGCAAGCTGGAGAACCAGGAAATCTGGTGGTGTAATTCAGTCCGAGTCTGAAGGTGTGAGAATCAGAGGAGCTAATGGTATAAAACTCCCAGTCAAAGACTGAAGGCCCGAAAACTGACGATGAGTCCCCAAGTCCAAAGCCAGGAACACCAAGAGTTTTGATGTCTAAGAGCAGAAGATGGATGTCCCAACTTAAGAAGAGAAAGTAAAATCACCCTTCTTCTGCCTTTTTGTTCCTTTTCAGTCTTTAATGAATAGGATGATGCCTGTCCACATTGGTGAGGGCAGATCTTCTATTGATTCAAATGCTAATCTGTCCTGGAAATGCCCTCACAGGCACACACAGAAATAATGTTTTTCCAAGCTATCTGGGCATCACTTAGCCCAGTAAAGTTGATCCATAAAAGTAACCATCACCTATTTGCCATCTTTCATTTAAGCCCAGATACAAAGACTGGCTATCTCAGCCATTCTTTGGGTAGCACATCCAAACCTGTTTCCTCTGAGTCTCTCTGCCTTGTGACAAATAGGTTTTGGAAGAAGTTGCCTGTGGTCACCCTGAGCTTGTGCCTTTAAGAGTTGGGCACACTGGCCAGGCGCAGTGGCTCATGCCTGTAATCCCAGAACTTCGGGAGGCTGAGGCGGGTGGATCACGAGGTCAGGAGTTCAAGACCAGCCAGGCCAAGATGGTGAAACCTCGTCTCTACTAAAAGTACAAAAAAAAAAAAAAAAAAAAAAAAATTAGCCGGGTGTGGTGGCCAGCGCCTGTAATCCCAGCTACTCGGGAGGCTGAGGCAGAGAATTGCCTGAACCTAGGAGACAGAGGTTGCAGTGAAGCCAGATCGCGCCACTGCACTCCAGCCTGGGCGACACAGCGAGATTCCATCTCAAAAAAAAAAAAAAAAAAAAAGAATGGCATGCCACCTATTCTGTGTGGCCTGCACGTAATGCACTAATTCTTAATCCCTCGCTGATCCCAGTGTAAAGTGGAGACACCAGTACATACTCAGCCTCACAGGACTGACTGGTCAGGTCACTCATTCCCAGGCACGCGGCCATCACTCACTGACAACTACAGACCGACTCTCTGCCACCCAGTTCAGGTGCCCAGATGCTAACGCCCCATATAGCCCAGCTCCCGGCATCCTCAGTCGCTCACACAGGTAACTGCTCGCTCCCTACCTCCCTTCCCGGGGCTGCGGCGCCCCAAGCCCGGCGGTGTCTCAGCTTTCCCGGTCCCCGGCGGACGGTGGCGGGGGTGGGGGTGGGGGGACGGCGCGGGTTTCCAGCCGGTGACGTTAGGCCGCTGCACGCCGGAAGTGGCAGCTGAACGGGGGCACTGAGGTGTCGGCCGGCGGGGCAGTGGCCCGGAGCGGGGGGCGGGGGTGTTGGTCATGTTTCCCTTTGGGCCTCATAGCCCTGGAGGGGACGGATCGGCCGGAGCCGGGGCTGAGGAGCCGGTGCCCCACGAGGGGCAGGCAGCAGCCACCAGGCCGCCCTCGCCGCTACATCCCGGGGCTGATGCGACCCATCCCCCTCCACCCACCCGGAGCCCTCGCCGCCCCGGCGCCCCATCGCTGTCCCCGGCCCCGCGCTCCGGAGAGCTCGAGCTGCCCGGAGATCCGGAGTCCTCGGCTGCCTCCGCCCAGGGAGAGCCGTCACCTCCCTCCCCTCCGCGCCGGCGGCCCGGGCCAGACTGCAAGGCCGAGAGCCGGGGCCGACACGGCCTCTGCGCGGGCCTGGGCGGCCCTGGCGCCAGGCTGTTCGGGTGGCTGAAAGAGCGCAGCCTGGGCCGCGGTCTGTTCGTGGACCCGGCGCGGGACAATTTTCGCACCATGACTAGCCTCTACGGTTCCATCCACCCCGCGGACTCGGTGTACCTCAGCACCCGCACCCACGGCGCCGTCTTCAACCTGGAGTACTCACCCGACGGGTAAGCGCGGCCCCTTGGAGGGCGGGCGCCCGCCTCCGCCCGGCTCAGCTGCCAGCGGACGGCAGTCCTGGGCTCGCTCCCCCGGCCCGGGCCCAGGTTAGCGAGGCCGTTTGGGGCCGCTGGCCTTCGTGCCTCCTGGCACTTTCTGAAGCGCATTCTCGTCCCCTGGAACCCCCAGCCCAGCTTTTTGAGGCAGGAAGGCGGGGCCCCACTTGCTCGCCTTCAGGACTTGGGTGGGCTCCGTGAAGGAGAAATGCCCGAAGCCACACAGCAGACCTGTCAGAGCCAACCCACAACTAGGGCATTCTGGTACACAGTAGGTGCTCAGTAAATACATTTTGAATAAATGTCCACTTTCTCCCCATCCTAGGCTCGCGTTTTCCCACCTAAACCTGTGTCGGGGTAGGAAGGCTGTAGATTCCTTGCACTCTGTACCTGAACTTGCCATGATGGGACAAGTGCGTTCCTTTGCTCAAGGAAGATACAGTAGTAAGACACTGTAGAGACGTGGCTCTCATGATTTGGGTCATTTGTGAAGTCCCCAGGCTAGACTACAGCCTTTTTCTTGGCTGATTAAATATTTATTGTATAGCTTTGGTTTAACAGGAAGTTCCAAAATCTATCTATTTAAAACTTTCTTGTCAGTACACAAGTCCGCCATCAAAAGAAAAAATTTGCACAGTTCCACCATGAGGTGACATAGTTAATGTAATTCTTATCCCATCAAAGCCTCTCGGTTGCTGGTTGTTTACCCAGGTGTTCATTCATTCATTCTCTCATTCGGCGTGTATTTTGAGCACTTGCTGTGTTCCAAATGCGGGAGTAACCGTGCTGAGCAAAACCAGCTAATGGCACTGTTTTCATTGAGCCTGGGACTTAATGGTTCAACTAGATAGTAGACAGCCTTACTAAATAATGCATAAAATATATTTGTTAATTGAGATAAAGTCTTGAAGGAACCTGTTAGGACTCTGTGTTCACGGATTCCCTGAGGAAGTGACACCTAAATCAAAATCAAAAAAATGAGTAGGAAATAAATTAGTCAAGATAGGGTTGGGAAAGGGATAGAAGTATTTCAAATGGGGATGATTGGTATGTCAAAGGTCGTAGAAGGGCAGCATGTCATGTTACAGAAGGTTAAAAGAATAGGTTTACAAAGCAAAAAAAGTTTACTGAAGACCTAAAGTTGCTAAGGAAGGAGCAAAGGAATAGAAGCAGGAATTACTGTGCACAAGTAGACTCTCTTCCATTTCAGTGATGCAAGTGCTTCCTAATCACATGTGGTGCTGGGATCTCTGGGGTCTCAACAGCAATTGGTTGGAGCATGTAGTAGTGGATGCACACCTGAATAAGGTGGAAAACTGGTGAGAGAAACTATTTTGCTGAAACTTATTCATGGAACCTCGCAGCCTCCTTCCTTCAGCCAAGCCCTATTCCTAAAGTTTCCCTCAAAACACTAACAGTCTGTTCTCAAATACTGAGTTTCTGTCTTCACATCCCGGCCCCTTTCCTCCCAGCCTCCTACCGATACTTTCAGGAATTCAGAGGTAGCTATTTCTACTTTTTGGATGTGGGATTTTAGGTGGGAGTATAATCAGAAGAACAGATTTTAGAGCTGTAAGAATAAGGGATATATTGCTTAAAGTTTTTGTTTGAATCTAGAATGCATTTTCTCATAACAGTTTTGTAAAAGGTGGTTAGGAACTCTTGCACTTAATTCAATAATTTTAAATTACACAATTAACATATATGCTCATTGTGTAAAACCTAGACAATAAATGAGCAAAAAATACCCTAAACATCGCTTATGATCCCAGAGATTAAATGGATATTTAAGGAAATTTTTACTTTGTGTATGTTTATTTTAATATAAACATGGAATCACTGTTTTGTAGCTTGCTTTTTTCCTTACAGTATATTGTGAACTGCTTATGTTAATAAATATATTCCTATAACATTATTTAACATTTTTCATTAGTTTAAATAAAACTTCTTTGAACAAATATTTTGTATTTATATCTTTAGGATAAATCCCTAGAATGAGTTATTGTTATGAAGATTTTTATACCTATTGTTAAATTGCCCTCTGCAAAGATCATACTAATTCTCATTACTATATTCTGATTCCTACATTCTAGACACATATGGAAGTGCCTGTCTCCCCATACCCTTGGCAACACTGTATACTGCCAGTCTTTTTCATCTTTATCGGGGTGATGAGTGGAAATACTTCAGTGTTTTAATTTTTCAGTCTTCTTACTTCATCTAGTATGCCCTACATTTGTGCAGGACTGAAAGTAATTTTACAGATAGATGACATATCTGTGTTAAAGGAGATAATTTCTCATATCCTTCAGTTAAATATGAGTTAAATCAGCTTACCGGGTAGCTTAACCACTGTTACCTACAAGGACTTCTCAATACCGAGAAGGAGGGGGTGACACAGAATGTAAAAATTAAAATTATGAATTTAATAGAGACCAGAATATAAGGAATTTGGCCATAAAAAAGATAAAAGGACTAGAAGGTATTTTCTAAAGAGTTCAAAAAATGTTTTAAGTGATAGAAACATTATCAAAATAAATGTATCAACTTCTAAAATGACATTTTGAAAAAGTAAAATTGATAATGTTAATAAATTATAGTATGTCAGACCCTGTCAAGCTGTCCTCCATGAGAACACATTAGGCACAGCTGTAGAGATAATTCACATATTGGAAAATAGAAGCAAAGAAACTAACTAGAATACAGACCTGGAAAACACAGAGATTGAAAATATGAAAAGATTTAGTAACATAGAGCATAGAGAGAAAAAGCGTGCCATATAGTTAGCCAGAGTTCCTAAAGAAAATAGTCCCAGTTTCTTCAGGAACTCTGGCTAACTATATGGTACGCTTATACCATATAAGCATATCATATGGTATAAAGGGGACTATTTGAAGACATAATAGCTGAGAACTTTCCAGATTTGAAGAACAGCACCAAGCCATGATTTAAGAAGCCCAACAAACCCAAGCAAGAATTCTTTCTAGACCTATTGTAGTGAAACTGTGGGACAATAAATATAAAATCTTAAAAGATAGAGAAAAAAGGGGCCGGGTGCGGTGGCTCACGCCTATAATCCCAGCACTTTGGGAGGCCAAGGTGGGCGGATCACCTGAGGTCAGGAGTTCGAGACCAGCCTGACCAACATGGAGAAACCCTGTCTCTACTAAAAATACAAAACTAGCTGGGCATGGTGGTACATGCCTGTAATCCCAGCTACTCAGGAGGCTGAGGGAGGAGAATCGCTTGAACCTGGGAGGTGGAGGTTGCGCTGAGCCGAGATCGCGCCACTGCACTCCAGCCTGGGAAACAAGAGCAAAACTCCGTCTAGAAAAAAAAAAGAGAGAAAAAAGGCCTCAAAGGAGTAACTATGAGAGTGATAGCCAATTAGTCATCAACCATAATATAAATCTAGAGACAGTGGTAATTATTTTCAATATGCCAGGAAAAAAACCTCAGTCTAGATTTATACCCAGCAAACACAGGTTCTTTGTCCTTGCCAAGAACAAAGATGAAATAAATACATATTCAGACAAGCAAAGCTGAGTAAGTTTGCCAGCAGACCTTCAATAAAGGAATTCTAAGTTCAGAGAGAAGGAAATTGTTTTCAAACGGAAGGTCTGAGAAGCTAGCAGGAATGAAGAACAAAAAGTGTTAAATATGTATGCACATGTTAATCTGATAATGTCTTTTGGGATTAACAGAGATGGAACAAAAATAGAAGACAATAATAGCATATAAATTATGAAGTGAGGCCGGGTGTGGTGGCTTATGCCTGTAATCCCAGTACTTTGGGAGGCCAAGGCGGGTGGATCACTTGAGGTCAGGAGTGTGAGACCAGCCTGGCCAACCTGGTGAAACCCTGTCTCTACTAAAAACACAAAAAAATTAGCCAGGCGTGGTGGCATGCGCCTGTAAACTCAGCTACTTGGGAGGCTGAGGCAGGAGAATTGCTTGAACCTGGGAGGCAGAGGTTGCAGTGAGTGGAGATCACATCACTGCACTCCAGCCTGGGTGACAGAGTGAGACTCTGTCTCAAAGTAAAATGAAAATAAAGGATGAGGTGATATTCTAAGTTTTTATGTTTTTGGGGGGATAATTATATATGTTAACTTTAGGCTTTAATAGGTATTTAAAATTTTCAAGGAACCAAAAGACAAGAAAGATTATAATTTCCAGACTAGTACAAGAAAAAGTACGGAATGAGAAAAAAAATTCCAAAAGAAGGCAAGAAAGGAAAATAAAAAAAGACAAGGTATAATAAATAAAAAGCACAAAGAATAGCTGAAAATAAATCCAAACATTACTAGTTACAATAACTATAAGGTACTAAATATTCCAATTAAAAGACAAAGAGTAGCTTGGCGCAGTGGCTCATGCCTATGATCCCAGCATTTTGGGAGGCCAAGGCAGGCGGATTGCTTGAGCCCAGGAGTTTGAGACCAGCCTGGGCAACATAGGGAGACCCTGTCTGTACAAAAAGTACAAAAATTAGCTGGTTGTGGTGACGTGCCCTTTTGTCCCAGCTACTCAGGTGGGTGAGGCAGGAGGATCATTTGAGCTCAGAAGGTAGAGGCTGCAGTGAGCCAGGATTGTGCCTCTGCACTCCAGCCTAGGCAACAGAGACCCTATCTTGCAAAAAAATAAAATAAAATAAAATAAATAAATAAATAAATAAATAAAAGAACAGTACCTCTTAAAATCTTACTCTTAATGGCATTTATAGACTACATTCAGGCCTGCTATTCAGCTGATACTGGTTCAGCTGTAATGGTTGTTAAAATATTGATATATCCATAGTGGTTGAATAGTTACTGCCCCAAGCCTGTTAAGTGTCATCTTAATGCTTCATTGCCTTCCTTGGGTCTTCCTATAGTAACCAATTATATAGCAACTAAAGAGTTAAGAACTGGGACAGCAAGAGGCTGTCAACAAACATCTCACTGGAGAACTAC